AATTTAATTCTCTCAATATGCAACTATGCCAACTCACCATGTCACTATGCATGAAAAATCTCCATGCACCATGCATGCTACTCATTCTCAATAAATATTTTACAACTATATAATAACTAGATATTGCAAATTGTATGTACTATTATTTCAATTCTCATGTTGCTAATCAAAATACTGAACTTTCATACTGCCAAATCTCATGCATCTAATTCCCACAGCAACGCGCAGGGTATCATCTCTAGTTTAGAAGTTTGGTTATACAACTATAACTGCCTTAATAATTGTATGGTACGGTAAGTTGGTAACTGCCTCTCTGAAGAAATGACAGTCACCAATGCAACACAACAACTGGAGCTACATAAACAAGAGGACTCCAACAACTTGTAAATGATGAAATCAATTAACACAACAATCTAATGGCACCGGAAAACAACATGCAAGTGTTAACAAGTGTTAATTAAGTTATACAGAATGTATCATGTTCTCCTGATCTCCTGAAATTGTAACTGCGCTAGGAGGCAACAAGAAACAACAAACATGCACTTGTCTCTAAGGTGTGGCTTCTTCAAGTAGATCGCCAAGCACATAGGCAACACATATAGGCTTCAACATAAACGTTACTGTTGCAGAATATACTTCTACACATTTGATTCTCATCAGAATATCATTCAAACAAGAGAAACAAATGAGCTTATAATGGGTAAGGACACTGTTTGTCTATATCAAACTATATTATGATGGTATAACGGAAAGGAACCTCAGGATATGCATGGTGTTTTTAGATCATGTGGACATTCTAATACAACAACTCTAGTACATCTACAAGCATACTACATAAGGTATGTTGCCATTTCGAACATTTTAATTTAAGAATGGTCTGTTTGTTGTAGTTTGCAGCCGTCATATGAGGATATTAGGCCCTAGCAAGTTAGACGAAGACAACACTTCAGTTAATGCCACTTTCACAAGGTTTGTGATTGCAGTGTTGCAATCTCCATGAAACCCACCAATATACACAACAATAGGTACCCTGCTGAATTTTCTACCCAAAACGCACAAATAGTTTACCACTCAGTAAATACATGTTTTCCAATAGTACAAAGAAGACTAAATTAAACAGCAATGAAAATAAGAGATGAAGCGATGACGTGTCTGACACCTCTAGATGAACTCAAAAACAAGCAGAAACCAAAAATCCCCTGCACTTTTTGAAGTGTGACCCGCACCCATCCCACAATAATACCTACACGCTGCACCAAACACAGTTAACCACATCAATGGATCTAACTATATTTTGCAATACCGTCGCGATTCAAGCTAAGGAGAGCTAGAAATGACATCAGGAGTCGGAGAATGGAACGAGGAGCCTAACCCAAATGCACCATGCTCGACAAAATTAATCGCACGCAATCGAAGGCCAAGCAAGCGGGCGCTGCCACGTACGGCTTTCGCCTTATCTGCGGGTACGCCCAAAACGCACACGCAAGCCAGCATAAAATCCAGGCATTCCGCTCTCCGCTTCCATTGCTCAGGTCACTAAACCCTGAACCACAGACGCACCCCTACTAATAATCCTCCAAATGAGCGGAGACCCTCCGAACACGGGGAAACGACGTCTGGGAAGCCAGATCTGAGGACGCGGCTCCCGGTACGGCTAGATCCACCGGCACGGACGGCCGGGAGGCCACCTAGAGCTTAGATCCGACGGGGAGAGGGCGAGCGGGGGGTGGATTGCTCACCTTCTGGAAGTCGCGGGGGGCGACGCCGGGGAGGTAGAAGGCGCGGGCGGGGGTGGAGACGAGGCATACGGCGGCGGCGACGAGGAAGAGGGGGAGGAGGAGGAGGCGGCCGCGCGGGCCGCCGGCGATCGCCATGTCGGGGGAGAAGTGGGGGAGTAGTGTGCCGAGAAGAGAAATATGGGGTGGGGTGGTGGTGCCTGCCCTGGTGGTGGGGAACTCCGAGCTACGACGGCCTACGGGAAGGGTGCAATGAGGCCAATAAACGGCCGTGATTCGTCGACGTAATGAAAGGAAAGGGATTACGTATCGTATGGGTCGTGTGGAACAAAATTCAAAATAGAAACCCCACCGACCGACAGAGGAGCCGTCTTATTCCGACCTACACTGGATGGCTCCCGTCAACCTCAAATCATTTTCATCATTTTGGAGTCGCCGGAAAGAAAGTTTTAGGTACATTATTATTTTTTTTGAGAAACTTTTTAGGTACATTTGTTGGAAGACACTTCACCTTCTTTGAGCTTTATAAGCTCGTCAGTCGTCAAAGACTTTCTTTATTCTTTACTGTACGTATTAGGTGGCACTTTACCTTCTTGAACAGTTCTTTTGACAATATGAAATACTTCCTCCGTCTGAATTAATTTGTTACTGAAACGAGTGCCTACAATTCATTTCAACGATAGTTAATTCTGGATGAAGGTTGTACAAAACAACTATCCCTCTTTGCTTCCGCCATGCTCCTGGTCACGCTTGACAGCAGCATTTTTTGTTACTTCCTCCGCCCATAATATGAGTGTTTTTGACACTAGTGGCACAGAGAGAGTATTTATTTCTTCCTACACTTCCAACTTCGTAGTTGACAATGCCGACCATGCTCGCGATCCACCGACACAGGCCGCCGGTTGTAGTTTATAAAATACCCAAGATCAAGGGCATCCAAATTCTTAATTTCGATTTGCTTATGGCTCGGCCTCTCAGGAGCCGTCATTAGGCAGTCATAAGTGACTCTGCTCCCCCACACACACACATTTTCTTTCTATTTCAAAATTCCACATATAACACTCGGTAGAAAGAATCTATCGTACAACTACAAAACCAAATACTCTAAAAAAGTTAACAGAAAGGCACTAATGAAATTCAAGTATATCCCAGTACCAAACCAAGTTTGAACAACCGTTCAAAAGCGATCATTCAAAGTCAATGAAACGATCAACATTAATGACTACCCTTTCCTCTTTCTCTACGCTTAGTTCGGCGCAACTTGCAACCCCTGGTAAAATAGTCTCCACTGCAACTTTCTCATGCACACGGCAATCAAGTTACTGTGCGTTTCAAGTTTCAGAAAAGTAAATAAGTAGGAAGAGAAAATAATTAAAGTTTCAGAAAAGTAAAGCAAAGACTGCTCGGTGCATGTAGCTCCCGCTTGTGCAGGCCCGACCACTTTAGGTCTATTGTACGCAGCTATTTCCTACATTTCTATAAGAGGCGTGACATGGTCAAGGCAGCAGATTTACCACTGCGCCCAAGGCTCCTCTTCCCAGAAAAGTAAAGAAGTACCAAGAGAAAATAATTACAGGCTAGAGGTTACAGACAGAACCCGTGTGGTTGACGATGTACACTAGCACGTGCAGTCCAGCACAGTTTATTGCCCCATCTTTATTCATACACAAAAGTAGATACAACCAGCGTGTTCGAGCATCTTGGCCTAGAATGCTCTTGCTAAGAGTTCCAGGAAGTGAAACCAAAAAAGAGCTCATGTGCGTTGGTTCAACAATACAGGAGATGATATTACACAAGACAATAATATTACAGAAGACGCCGTGACCCAAGAAATCTACAGATAACATATGCTCGCTGACTCAAAAAGAATGGGATCTGACTATATAATTACTACAGCAAAAAGCCCAGAAGTTTGAACTGCTCAATTTATTCAATCTGCACTTGAGAAAACATTGGATCTCCCAACAAAGATGAGATCAGTGGGCAGCATCTCTGCTGTAGAATGCATCCAAGGTCTTCGCAGGGATACGATGGAGGAGCTCGCGAGGGAAGATGCGAAGCAATGTCCATGCTAGGTCAAGTGACTGGAAGATGTTCCGAGTATCATATGCTCCCTGTGCTACAAATTTCCTCTCAAATTTGTCCAGGAATTCTAGATAAAGCTGCACAAGAGAAACAACAATATATTAGATTCTTAACTTTTAAAAGACTGTATGTCCATGCATTAGTTCGTTAATGAGCAGTAGCATACCAGATCTTCAGAAGAGAGAGCCTCCTCTCCCACAACTGCTTTCATGGCCTGGACATCCTTTCCAATGGCATAGTTGGCATAAAGCTGAACAGAAAGCAGTATGCGTGATTCCTCTGTATGTTACAATTGGCTGCAAGGGAACCAAATATACAGTGTTCAAGGAAGTACCTGGTTAGACACATCTGAATGGTCTCGCCGGGTCATACCCTCACCAATAGCACTCTGCAAGAATTATTGACGGTTCTTAGAACTAAATTTCAGGATGAAATCCTGATAACATCTTAAAGTAATGGATCCAGTTTTATAAAGCTCGATTGGTAAGCGGTCTCACCTTCATCAACCGAGAGAGAGATGGAAGGACATTGATGGGTGGGTATATCTGAAACAATACCATGACATCATGTAAACATTGAGAAAAATATTAAGGAAAAGAAACTACTACAGGTTCTAAATGATAAAAAGCTGCATTCCAGAAGTAAAAGAACAAGTTAAAAGTACCTGTCTGTTATGGAGCTGTCTGTCAATGTATATCTGTCCTTCAGTAATGTACCCCGTGAGATCAGGAGTTGGATGTGTGATATCTGTTTGGAGGGAAAAGAACACTCTATTGTCATTGCATTCTTATGTAAAATGGTCAATAAAACGGAATGTGCAGTAATGATTGGCCTAAATGCAATCAGATTTGCAGTTGATGTTGGTCGACGAAACAAGAGAGATACTCATGCTAGAGTGGCGCACATGCTAGATTGTGTCACACTCAGGACTCAGCAAAATGACAGACAATATGCTGATTTTAATCTATAGCACGTCAAGTATATTAGCATGTTAAGAACATAATTGACGGTGCTATATAAGAAATACAGAGCACGCAATTCGCTACTTACCATCATTAGGCATAGTTAGAATGGGTATTTGGGTAATGGAGCCTGTTCTTCCTTCAATACGCCCAGCACGCTCATAAATGGTTGCCAGATCAGTATACATATATCCAGGATAACCACGCCTACCTGGCACCTCTTCTCGGGCTGCTGATACCTACACATAAGCAGAAGTGGGTTACTGACTTGTTATGGCAGCAAGTGCAAATTTATTACAGTTGAGCATAAAAGTTACTCCCTCTGTCCCAAAATATAAGAACGTTTTTTAACACTACACTAGTGTCAAAAACGTTCTTATATTATGGGACGGAGGGAGTACTACATATACTCCGAAATGCAATACTACCAAGGTGGAAATCTTCCAACTTACTGGATAGAGAAAACTACAAAACACTGTTAGAAGCTAATAAAAATGTCAAGGTTCTGTTTTCAACACTAACACTATATAGCCGTTTGGCAGTGGTGTGATGATAATAAAAAACTGAAAGAAAAAAAAGATAATTTTGACACCAGATCACGACCAAACTCTGCCACTTCAGTTTGTACTGCATTTTGTACAAGATAATTTCAAGTTTTATCATTCGGACAGTAATTTTTGCAATTAGATTGATGGATTTTAGTGTGCAAAGGTTATACAATTTTATCAATCCTTCCCTTATAAAATCATTAGTTATTCAGGTCACTGGCAAAACATCAGGACAAGAAGTACTCCAAGGAAGAGCTAACTGATTGGAAAATAAACTTCAATGGAATCATGCTCTAGTTGATGAAATATAAAGGGCAATACCTCACGAAGTGCATCTGCATATGAACTCATATCTGTCAAGATGACAAGAACGTGCTTCCCACATTCATATGCCAAATATTCTGCTGTTGTTAGCGCAATACGAGGGGTGATGATACGTTCGATCGTGGGATCATTTGCCTACAAGACAAACAGGAGCAGAGTGTTAAATTATGTTTTGTTTGGCATTGCCCAAGTCAAATCTTGTTTAGGAGACAACTAAAATACTATCAAGTATAAATTATAGCAATATATGCAGTAACATTTTTTGCCTTGCGGTAGGAAAAAGTCTGGTTAACAAGTAGAATGTAAATACCAAGTTCAGGAAAAGGGTGACCCTCTCCATTGAACCATTCTCTTCAAAATCGCGTTTGAAGAATTGGGCTGTCTCCATGTTCACTCCCATAGCAGCAAACACAATAGCAAAATTGTCATCTTCACCACCACCCTAGTACATCAAAGAAATCAGATCAATCAACAAGCAATGATTTGGCCACGATTGACAAAATGGTCTCTTTCAAAGAGATGGTTACCTCTGCATGCTTTCCTTTCTCCAGCCTCTTGACAAGACCAGCCTGACGACAAATCTGAGCAGCGATTTCATTATGAGGAAGACCAGCAGCAGAAAAGAGAGGAATCTTTTGCCCTCGAGCAATGGAGTTCATGACATCAATTGTAGATATGCCTGTTTGAATCATCTCCTCTGGGTAGGTTCTCTCACTTGGGTTGATAGAACTTCCTGAAATAAGTAACAATACATAACTATCAGAAGTAAAAAATGATTACAGTTTAACACCATTCATAGTTCTAATTTTGTCCTATAAAGAATACTGAACATACAATTAACCATGAGGCTCTTAAATAACAGTGTCCTTCAACTGAGAAAGCACTTACCGGAGATATCCAAGTAGGCCTCAGGCAATATCGGGGGGCCATTATCAATAGGTTTTCCAGAGCCGTTAAAAATGCGTCCAAGCATATCAAGTGAGACAGGAGTTTTCAGGACCTGTCACAGAAGCAGCATACCATAAGTAGGCAACAAAAAGTGGCAGCTTGTCATGTTCATATACAAACAAGAAGGAAGACAATATTATTTTAAATTTCATTCTCATAGTTCAGCATGGGCTTCTCCATGTTATTCAGTTCCAGTGATATGCAGTTGCGGTGCCTCCTTAATCAACAATAAGCATGACTTAACAATTTCAAGAATGAATGTCCTCATCAT